GGAAACAGGTCTTGAAGGAAATGACGATATACGACCCCGGGATCCTGCACTAGCTGGACTATCAGAACTATAATCCTCGACAGGAATGATCGGAAGAGGAGGAAGAGGATGATTCCTCGAAAAAGCAACAGCTGACGCGGATCTCTGACTACTACCAGTCTCTTTCGAGGGTGACAATACCGACGCCGAGCGACCTCGGGTAGTTGATAGTTGCCGTCCTCGACTGTTCCCAGCGTGGTTGAGCAATATACCCCCCGCTTTGTGGACTCGCCTTTGACTGGGGAAGCAGCTGCAGCAGCATGATGCTTTTGAATGGGCTGAAAATGCACATGCAAGGACAAAGTCGGAGCGGGAGACGCTGCCTTGTCTCGGATTAAAATCCCGGACCTGGCGATGGCGTTCGCGATACCAATGCCCTCTTCGGAATCTTGAGAGCTGGAGTTTCTCGTGTCGTGGCATGAATAGGCAACGGTGGCAAAGAAACGTTTGGGCCTCTAGCTCCAGATTCAGAGCGGGAACGTGAGTGGCTTGGCCCGTCGGATCCTGACCGAGCAATCTTCGCAACAACCTGAGCTTGCGGAGGAGAAGGGAACTCCGATATCTGTTTATTAAGCTGAGAAGCCCAGGATGCGGTGGTGACAACAGGTTCTGACGCGGCCAGTGGAACCCGAGCTGCTATATTGTTCTGACCCAATCGCATCTGGGAAAGAGCCGGGGAGCCAACAACCGCGGACATCGTAGAAGGCGTGAAAGCATCAGAAACATCACCATATGGTCGACCACTCAAAGCAGATGGTAGTTTCATTCGCTGGGCTAGCACGCTGGCATCCGGAAGTGGTACATCATGAGCACCTCGTATTGATATCGAGCCGTTGTGAGAACGATCTAAAGTAGAGGAAAATGCACCAGTGCCTCGCAAAGAAGAATGAGATGACACTTTCTGTAGCGATTGCTTACTCCTAGGGATTTTCTGATGTAGGACCGAAGTCGAAGCATTCTTCATATGCGATGGACGAGGAATTGCGGGAGTATGGTTCCGGTCTTCGCCGTTTGACGTTGAAGACAACTTCAGAGCAGTGCTCTTCGGGAGTAGTTCGGAACTTTCGTTTCGATGTTGTTTGGTATCCGATGCCGATGAGAACATGGCAAGACCTTTGATCTCAGGTATCAAATCTTTCTCGAAGATGTCCGCAATTTGCTTATGCCCAGCCGCATTTAGGTCCTTTCTAGCAGCCAGCCTTTTCGCCAGAGTGGCTGCGTCGGGAAAGTATTGCTCAACAACAGGTACCTTGAAGGCTACCGCGGACGACGACTTCTTATGAACCTTGAGAACTGGTTTTACATCTAGCGAGTTCAAAGATGTCCCCTTTCTATGCGTAGGAGGAGGCCGGGGCACAAAGACACCCTTTGGGACAGGAGCCTGTTGCAAGGGATTTGTGAAAGGTGGAAGATCTCGGTCCAAAGAAGGGAGTTCAACTTTCTTCGCTGGATATAGCAACAACTCTGAGTGAATCACCAGATATATGTAAGCTTAAAGCTATGGTTCAAGTTCGTACAAGGACACTTACCATTGGAAGGAGCTTGAGCAACCGGTATTTCATTGTGGTTCTCATGAAGAGCCAGGGTTCGCGAAGTCGACATTAAAGGAATAGATGTGCTAGTGGATTGAGTCGGTAAGGTAAGTCCCGCCTGCACGTCAGGAGGAGAAACCGCAACAAGTGAAGCAGGTTTAAGAGGAGGTCGAGAAATTTCACCGGCAGGGTCTTTCCGAATACGTTTAGCCAGAATTGAAGCATCAGGCAATTGGAACTCAGGAGTGAGCCGTGGCATGGAAGATATGGATGCCGACTTCCTCAGTCCTCTCTTCATCCATAATGTCGCGGGAGGCCCAGGTGACATTGATAGACGTTCAGCTGACCTTGGAGATGACTCTGACGCACTGGGCTTGTGTGCAGAGACAGGAGGAGAGAGAAACTTCTTTCCTGGCAACGATTCCAACGCACGCAACCTTTCAAGAAGAGGGGAAGGAAGAGGAGAAATAACATCCTTTCGGCTGGGCCGTGCAGGTGTGCCATTACCCATGGAATCAGGCGGTAGCAGGAACCGCTGAGGTACGGCCGCTCTATGATTCCCTCGACTATCAGAAGCAAACTCAAGAGCTCTCTCCTTCAGTTTCAGACCATTGACACTGACTAAAATAACTTGAGTTTCCGTTATGAGACAGTCAAGACAGGACAAACCTTTCTGTGTCTCCTTCACTTTGGAAACCTCATCCTCAAAAACCTTGGATTTCTGCAGACCGATTCTTGGTCGAGCCTGTACTGCTCTCGAATCCGCTTTGTTTCCTACAGTTGTCTTCAGTCGCTCGACTGCACCAGAGGGTAAAGGAGGCAAAGGGCTATCCAATGGCAAGGGTGGCGGTGGCGGCATTCTTGAGCGCAGTGCAGATTTCTGAGCTCGAGGCGTTGTATCTGAATGTGACACGAATGGATGCACCTTGGGAGTACGCGAAGGGAGCGAAGGAGACCGATTCTGGGCTAGGACAGCTGTGGTCTTTGTAGAAAGTGCAGGAACCAGTGGAGGTGGAGACTGATTCCGAGGAACTTGAGGCAATGGTCGTACTGTCCCATCCTTTCGATTCCTGAAAGTTGTAACCTCTTTCTCGGGAAGTGGAACGATGCCAATATCTTTAACCTTGGCAATCTTCATATGCGATGGTGGACTCATCCTAGGCCCTTTCAATTTCGGTTTTGGCTTCACCCTCTGTAGCTCTGGGATCACAAAATCAGCCGGTAGTTCGACAATCCCGGTAATGCTCTCTGCATGCGACTGCTGCGAGGGGAAATTCGTAGCAAACGCTGTTTTGGGAGCGCGCGAAGGTAAACGTAGGTCTGACGATTTAAACGCACGATCAAGATGTCCAGATGTTTTCGGGAGTTTCGGGAATTTCGGACTGGGTTTCGGAGAATCTCCGTATAACTCCAGTATGCTCCATGTTGCCGATGCGCTGACGACGGCGACGCTGGCAGGAGACGACCTTGCAGGAGATTGGACCGTGATTACCGTAGTCGTAGTCGTAGTCGTCATTCGTGTGGTAGTCGAAATAGTCAATGGAGGAACATTGCGCCTGGGCTTCATGACACCCGTTTGTGAGGAGTCTCCGAGCTCTCCTGTAAGGAGAAATGCGCTTGTAACGGCCTCCATGGTACTGCCCGTGCTCTTAGCTGAAGACTGGCTGCCTGAACTCCCTTCTCGAAATTCATAATCAACGCCTTTCGGTGTCGGAAAAGCACGGAAGATATTCTGATGGGACCACAGAATGGACATCCTTTCCCCTGCTTCAGGAGACATGTTGTTTGAGGGTTCCATGAGAGCGACGAGAGTCAAGGAATCGTTCGGCCCTTCATTTATATCTTGCATTCCTCGCCATCGGACTGGAGATAACGGAACGGATTTCAATTGTGAGCGTAAGCTGTCTTCGTCAGATATGGTGGGAAGGGATGAGTTCAATGACGGTGTGGAGGAGTCGATCGATGAAGAATCTGACATTGACGAAGCAGAAGACAAGTAAGGCATAACACGATGTCTGCTCTCGAATGGCTTGAGCGTGAAAGCTTCTATCTGAAGCTTTGATCTCCGCTTGAGATAAAGACCTTCTGGAAGTCGTGCGCTCTTCGATCTCCTTTTCTTGATCGTCGTAGGAGATCCAGAGCGGTGAACTGCATCGCGACTTGTCGTCCGCCCTTTGTGAGTTGAGCCTAAAACTTTACATGAATGACGATAATAGTAAGTTGAGCGAAATATATCTACCTTCACCAAGCCTAGTACTTCCCGAATCAAGACCTTGAAAATTGAATCAAAATGCTATTTCACTCAAAACCAAATAAGCATCACTCTCACCGCCTAGGTTGACAGCACTCTCAGAATCCATATCAACTGGCTCACCAAATTGTACACTCCAAACGTCCGGGTTGTTGAAGATTTCATCCACTATCGCACTTTCGGGTGATTGTCCAAAACTAAAACTTACACTTGGGATACTGCTACTTCCCGAATTGAGCCCATCTTCCAAGAGTAATGGATCCACAGGTCGTGAACGGGTGGGTTGAATCATAGACATGGAGCCTGCCAATAACGATCCAGTAGGACAAAGATGAACGAAGAAGAGCTGCCCAGCAGTCTTAGCGAAGGAAAGCAGGCGCCAGCGGGTCTGATGGAGTCTTATACTCTTGAGGGCTTGACGAAAACGGCAACCCTGGGCGCCGTTTGAAGGAGAAGAAAGAAAGTAGTATTATGAAGTGAACTTTGTGGCCCTGCTGACTCCCCCATTAAGAATGCGGGTAACCTGGATGAAACTAGATGGCGAGGAGCATTTACTATCGGATCAATATCATGAAACGTCAACGGTCAAACTTTCGCATTCGTCACCGATGGCACTGCCTTGGCCCTTCAAAGCGTTTTCATGCAACAAAATGCGGGAATGGTTTAAGATATGTTGGCATGGGATTCAAAGACCAGCTTATAATGTCACTGTGATTGTAGCTGATAAATGAGTGGAAAGAAAGACAAAGGCGAAAGGAAAAGGATAGATAGAAATCAGACCTATTCAGATGCCGCCGGCAGCGAATAATGCGCGTACCCTACAGGCCCTACAGGGTCAATTTGCAGGGTCAGCTCCTCGGTCAACTTCTTCCGTCGAGGAGGAACCTGGAGGAACTGTGTTCAAAGAACGGAGGCTGAAGCAGAGTGGGAAAACAACACATAGGTCAGGCACAAGTCTCTACAAGTAAGTCTGTTGGAGATAGCCAAAAAACTGGATGGTATCAAGCATTCATTCAGTTCCTTTATGAATTCGTTAGCATCTTTGGCAACGGGTTGATCATCAGCATTGTCAAAGTTGCATATCATGTAGAAAAGCAGAATCATAATCATCTTACACTCATGAAGGTCAAAGCAACCATACAAACAGTCACAACCAAAACAAAAATCAGTATATCATTTGGGGGTACCGCGGATCGAACGCGGGACCTTCAGAAAAGCGCAAACTTCAGTCTGCTGCTCTCCCAGCTGAGCTATACCCCCAGTAAAGTGAAACGTGACTGTTGGCTACATGAGTTGATCAATTAGGTATTACTGATCATGATGCTTTTGACCTCCAAGTAGACTACTAGTATGTCCGCATCTCTGTATAATCCCTCCGCATCCGTTTTTTGGCCATTGGATTGCAAGGAATCTGGTTATGCCTTTGGCTGGTGCAATAATAACCAAAATGTAGGGTGCATCGTTGTAGCGGGTGTGATTCCGCTACACACAGTGGACTCAAAGCTTCGAGAGGGCCTGCCAAAACTTCTCAAACATACACAGCAGCACACAGAAATAGCAGATCTCGGAGAGTTGCAGCTAATTGGGAAGTGTACCTTTTACTCTGGGCAAAGAAAAGGTCTTGTTGCTCCAGACCTTGAAATGGGGTGCGTGTATCAACCAACCCGTCAGAACCAGGAGTTTCTGCTTAACACCTATTCAGGCAAGCAATAAAATATAGCATTGTGTTCTATCATCGACACGAGGCTCAAACACTTAGATTCTACTTGATGGACACGCTCGGACTTGACATCGACGCGTTCAATGTGACCTCTAGTAGCACTGTCAGACCGGTATCGGGGCGAAAAAGCAGTGGTATCAGCCAAGATATTGTGAACCAAGTACTCTGACTTTCTCTGTACAGCTGTAGCGGACACTGATTAGTTCATTATAGCTCAATGTAGCGAGTATAATCAACGCCGCAATACAAGAAACTTTGTTATCTATGTTGAATGCGACGCCTTCAAGTACGAACCTACGCCAGACAACAAAATCGATCACAGCTCGAACGTCAGATCTGCTAGAAACTGCCATCTCGATATCACAATCATTCATCTCTATGCCAATTCAGGTCATTTGTAATATACACGTCTCGGCGAAATACCTTTTGAAAGATGTATCATTGAGTGGTGAGTATTGGTGTTCGTTTGATGTGACGATTTTTTTTTCTCATTTTGCAGTACAGCAAATGGATGTTCGCGCGGACCAGTCAGCAGCCCTCCTACGTCAAATGGCTGCTCTTCAGTCGAGGAGAGAAGGTGTTCGGATAGAAACTTATTCAATGAAATACACTAGGCTAGTTCCAAGCTTCGTGTCTGATTCTGTGCTCATCATGGGTCAACTCACAGCTTCTTCAATACCGTATGGCTCATCCTCAACGATGTGACGATAGGCTACGCGTTTGGGAATTTTCTATGCGAAAATCATGAGGTGCTATCTAGAATGCTGAAAGATGCCGTAGAGGCACGTTCTCTCCGTTTCCCTGTTGAATACGAGTATGCCCCTCAACATTATTTCTATAGAATTTTCTGATATCATGGCCTCAACGTGCTCTCTGCTGGCTCGATTCATGGCCAGCTGGATTGAAACTCAACACGGAACTCAGTCGATTCTACTCTGGTACATTTGTGGATTTCGTTGACATCTGGGGAGGTACGTCGTACCAAGAGATATATGTATATACGTCTTTAATGTCATCACTTGGTTCCTCTCTCTAGGCGTTCTCCGACACACCATATTTCCTCAACTGCCAAAGATAATATACATCTTTGGACTGATCTCCTCTTTTGGTGCGCTCATTGGTGGGTTTGTTTGTAGCAATTCTTTCTCGTTTAAGTTGAGCCCCATCCCTCAGGTGGTATGGGAGGAATGACCATGTCTATTGCGCTTTTCTACGATATGTTCGTAGTTTTGACCTTGCACATCTATGTATGCTATGCCATAGCTGTGCTGGCGTATGAAAGAGCTTTGTGGGGCTTAGGTAGTTTGTGGCGTTTGTTTCGAGGTATGTTTTCGAGTAGCCCTTTTGATCTCACTTTTTGTCATCCTCTGTTTCATTATCATCTGCTCAGCCCACTCTCTACTGTAGGAAAACGATTCAACGTGTTACGGAATCGTACTGATTCCTGGGAGTACGATATTGATCAGCTCTTGTTTGGCACGATCCTCTTCACTCTATTGGCGTTCCTGTTTCCTACAGTTCTGGCGTATTATGCCTTGTTTGCCCTCGTAAGTGTCAATTATACTGACAACATGTGTTCTATTGATACAATCCACCATACGAATCCAACCCTGTTTTTACTGATTTCGTGTTTTCTCTGACTTTAAAATGTAGTTACGGCTTGCTACGATCCTCATCCAAGCAAGTTTGGAAATACAGCTTGCGTTCATGAACCATTTTCCGCTATTTGCGCTGGTGTTGAAGCTTAAGGATCCTTGGCGTTTACCTGGGGGGCTTTATTTTGACTTTGTGCGAGTGTTGGTCCATGTCAACGAACATGAGGCTGCGGGTGCTGGTACAGATGAACAATTCATCACAACCCTCATTCCCATCGTTGAAGTGAGTTAACTTCTGTCTGCTCCGCATTTTCTCCTTTCCGTTTGTTCTTATCCGCACAGCTGTGACGAGATTTCTACACACGACTTCGGAGATTAGAGCCTTTCTTCCTTGCAAAGTTCATTCACTAACAATGTGTGATATTCTAGAACCAACCGGTCACATTGGGAAGGATTTTTTTCCAATATAGTAAGTATTTCTCTTCGTTCTATCGAAGGAGGGTAGCATGTATATCGATGAATAGTAATGGAGATCTGTGACCTCTCTTCTCCATCCTGTTTTGCTCTTCTCGTACTGTCGTAACTCATTATTTGACTACCGAGGCTAACACCGATTAACCCATAGCGCGTTTATGGACTAAACTTGCTTCACATTACGACCCTTTCCGGTTGTTCAAGGCCTTGCTTCTGGGTAGATTTCTGGTGCCCATACCCAGGTTTGAGCAGAGAGACGACATAGACACATAACAATTGAGTGGTACAAAATATTACAAGACAACAGAATTAATGGAATAGTCATAGGTATCTGTGCAATCATGAGTGTAGATTCTTTGCCGGTTCATGAAAAGGCAAGCAAGAAGAATAGAGTGATTATGAAGAGACGTTGTTGCATGGAGAGGGTGCCTGTTAGACGTGAATGACAGGTACTGTGCTTCGTGTATTTTTCTTGGAGCCTGCAATGAAGAAATAATCAGGTTTGACGGTCAAATTTGAGTGAATCGAAGGAAGAGCATTGACCCCATATATCGTTAAGTACACCTTGGCATGTCCCGCTCAAAGCTTTAACCAGTATGCGAAATTGGGTGGCTGGAATGCATATTCATCAAAATTCAAAATATCAAAGAGTAGGTGGAATATTGACTCTGTTCGTCTCATTTCCCTGATCTATAGCGAAGTAGTTGATTAGGGTGCTGTCGAGTAGGGATATGGGGTGATATCGTGGAAGCTCTTACGGTCGATGATGCATCTGAACGAGGACAAGGAATAGCCGCAGCGGCTTTTAGGATCGACAAGCCATATACAACAGTCCTCGCCGGCTGTGAAAAACGCTGGACGCCATTCTTTAGTGGTTGGTTCGTTCGTAGGCATCTATGAGATATTGAGAGAAGGACAAGTAGGGTCGACATGACTGGCACCTTATTATATTAGGGTCACAAGTGGAGAAAGAGGGTGTGAATGAGCTAGCCTCCGGTCAGCACTACAGCACACGCAACACCTCGAGGTGTGGCGGCGGGTCCGATAATCTAGACTGAAACATGAAAAGCTAAGTACACGAACTTGAAGTAATTTCCGTTTTTTCAAGAACCATTCTTGGACCGTTTTCCGATCTTTCTCTTTCTCTTTCCGGACTATTGCACTCAATGTCCATTTCCCGGGGATTCTTCGCTGATACGTTCATTGTGACTAGGACGATCATACTTTGACATGCTTTTGGTACTTACAAACTTCGTAGAGCTACACATAGACTCAGCACAGCTTAGGACATTGTGTTTCCTGTTTTCCTGAGATAACATACAAAGCTTATACAGGTACATTATCTCTTATGTCGCGAGTAATGCGCACTGTATGTCATGGAACGTTATGGTGCTATTCAATCCAGAGCATGTTCTACAACGTGTTACAGAATAGCTAAGGGCGCCGTCAGGTAAGAGAACCATAGATCAAGCCTGTACTATTGGCGTATATGTACTAGTATAAGGATGCAGGCGCAATATCTATTCCTTGCACCGTCCTTAGGTTCAGATAAAATCTAAGTCCCGTATCTTCTACTTTCGAGGGATCTCCCACTCGATCATTAAATTCTTTAGAGTCACAGTGCAACAGATCCGGAACATTCTTCAAATGTTGGACTCATAGTTTGACAGCCCGAATGTGGACCTCATTTTATTCTATGCGTCGTATGATGAACTTGGTGCAAAACTGTCGATTAGCGCCAACCGAACGTGTTTAGGGCCGGGCATCTCATTCTCCCAACATTCATTATAAGTTGAGTTGTTGCAGAACGTATCGAACTGCGCATGGCCTGTCATTGATCTCGTGCCCACTGAAATGTCTAGCTGTGTAGACACAACTATCCTTAGGGAGCGCGTTGAGGTTTTGCTCGCTGAAAGATGCGAGTCTTTTGAGAGGCATGTACAAGGTAAGTGACGCGCTTATTATCCGTGTCTCCATGATTAAAGCCTAAACGCTGATTTTACGCAGGTAGCCATCACCTGGTAATCACCCTACCGCTCTTCCTGTGATACGTATCCCTTTTTTACTTTGGTTATTTCAGACTTTTATTGCCCAAATGCCCCGTATGGGCAAAAAACTTGTTCGCGTCGAATCCATATTCTCAAAAGAAGAAGGGAGCGGGACTGGCCTTGCATCGCCCTCTAAGATGCCATCAGAGGTTCGCGGTGAGGCCTTAGCTTATTATTATGTATGATTCTCACCTTCTATCTCGTTAGATTGCGACTATGCGTTATTTGAAAAGACATTCAACCATACCCGTACCAGAGATATATGGGTACGATAATGACGCAGACCGCCGTGTGGGCGGTACGTGGATGGTCATGGAATACGTAAGTCCAGATCACAATGTGGATGTTGCAGTTATTTAACCACAGTTGATTCAGGTTGAAGGTCGAAATGTTGACCAAGTATGGCATACCTTGACGACGACT